AAAAAAAAAAAAAAAAAAAAAAAAAAAAAAAAAAAAAAAAAAAAAAAAAAGAAAGAAAAAGTGAATTTCATGCCTAAGACACTGGGTCTGCCCCAGGGAGGGCCGCGGTGAGAGTAATAATAACCACCACAGTGATTGTTACTCTATGTTTAGTGCTTTCTCAAACTCATCTTCTAAGAAAAAAATTACAGTCCCAGCCTGGTCTACAGAGCTCTGTGTAGCCAGGGCTACAACAGGGAAACCCTGTCTCTAAAAACAAAAGGTAAATCTAGACACACTATGTCTCAAATAAATAGATAAATAAATGTGTGTATCTGGACCAACGGATAGGCGGGTAGGCTAACAAACGCTGCCCTGTTGTATCCCCAAGGATCAGGATTCGATATTGAGTCGCCTACAAAAGGGTGCTAGACACGGGCTGCTCCAACTGAAGAGTAAAGCCCCATCTTGGAGCGAGGAGAGCGGCGGCTACGTGCTCAATTTTCACGGTCGCGTCACTCGGGCTTCGGTCAAAAACTTCCAGATTGTGCACCCCGATGAACGTGAGCTTTTAGCAATCCCAAGACACGGGCTTTGGGGGCAGGAAGAGGGCGTTCAGGGTGGGAGCCTCACTTTCGCAAGGTCTATTGGGACATGTAGTCTATGGGGCTCCCTGAGTTTCCTAGGTTGGTCAGGGTGCAGCCGCGTGGCAGCATTAGAGTTTAAGTCCTATTTCCTGGTTTGCTCATCAGCGGACTGCCTGGTGCTCCAGTTCGGCCGCGTGGCCCCAAACGTATTCACTATGGATTTCCGATATCCTCTTTGCCCTCTCCAAGCCTTCGCCATCTGCTTATCTAGTTTCGATGGGAAACTGGCGTGTAAGTAACTGAATAAAATACCATGCCTCACCAGCTGTCGTGTGCGTTTGGAGATAGCTTCACAGCAGTTTTTAGGTTTTTTTTTTTTGGAGGGGGGAATCGAGACGGGGTCTTTCTTTCTTTCTTTTTTTTTTTTTTGATTTTCGAGACAGAGTTTCTCTGTAGTTATTGGTGCCTGACCTGGAACTAGCTCTTGTAGACCAGGCTGGCCTCAAACTCACGGAGATCCGCCTGTCTCTGCCTCCCCTGCTGGGATTAAAGGCGTGTGCTGCCACCGCCCTGTCTCTTGAACTCAGGTTGGGCTTGAACTCAGAGATCCACCTGCCTCTGCCTCCCAAGTGCCACGGCCCGTTCTTTTTTAGTTTTCTGATACTCATTCTGGTTCCCGACAATGTAGCTGAGGCTAGCCTTGAACACCCGATCCTCCCCTTCCTCCTCCAGAGTACTGGATGACAAGCATGCACCTTGGTGCCTGGCTTTGCAAATGTCGTACCTTTTATCTACCACCCTCCCTTTGTTTTTTAAGGCTGCCTCGCTCTATAGGTGATGCCACAACTTCGAAATGCTGGGATCAGTTGGGCACTTGACCCCAGCCTGGACACAGAAACTCAGTGTTTTGAGACCATCACTCATTATTATCAGGCTGTTTAAAATACACTCAGTGTATTATCAGGCTGGTTTAAACTTCAGTTTGGACACAAAACTCATTTTTAGCCTCCCTTGAAGATCCACCAGCAGGATATTATCAATACATAATTAAGACTTGATCAGTATAAATCAAAAGGCTTTATTTCATATTAAAAAAATAAATAACAGAAAACTATACGGGTTTATAAGTCAGGCTGGGTGGAGGGGCTTCACTGAGAAGGGGAGAGGGTGTGGTCAGAGCTCGGCTCAAGGGCGTGGCCTAAGGAGGCACAATGCCCAGGCTGAGGAAAAGGTGTGGAGGACAAAGGAAGAGGTGCGTTTCCTAGGCGAGCCCCTGCTCTGGCCCGGAAGGCAGGGGTGAGATAAGGACCCAGCTCCTTCTCTGCCTGGGCAATGCGGCGAGCAAAGCGGCTCCGATCTCGTGCGAGCTGCTCCCAGGGACCACGGCGGGCAGCCTGGGCTGGTCCTGCCCAGACAGCAAGGAGATGAACTGTGACTTTCTCAGAGAAGTGCACCTGGACAGATGGGCAGAGGCAAGACATAAAATTAGTCACACAAAAACACTTGGTGTTTGAATAGTCACCTCCTGACTGTCCCTCTGACTCACTCCACTAGCACATCTACCACTCCCCTGCTCTTTCAGGAGATTGCAACAGGATGAACACAGCCTTCCCACGTAAGAACTTGCAACACAAGGTCCTCCTTAGGGATTTTCAGGTCCGACCCCCCCCCCCCCCATGGGAATCTAATCTCTGAGCTAGACTCCAGGCCCCAGCACTCACCTTTCTGGTCCGCAGGGGAGCTGCAGGGTCCTGATCCCGGGTGGGGGTTCTCAATAGTCTGAGCCTCCTTTGCAGTCGAGGGGGCAGCTTAGGGGCAGCCCAAGGTGCTGCTGGCTTCTCTCCAGGTAAATAGAAGGCCACCTGAAGAGAGGGCTCTGCTCGCACACATCCGGCTGTCTTCTCTCCAGGCAGACACCGCTGGGCCTGAAGGCAGGGACCTGAGTCATCTGGGACATTCTCACACTCATCTTCTGTGTCCTCTCCTGGACAATAGACCCAGGCCTTCAGGAAGGCACTTGTATGGGGGGTGGCACAGGTCTGAGCTACACTGTCTTCCCCATCTGACCCCCAGTCACCGTCGTCCTCATCCTCCGTGTCCTCTCCAGGCCGACATACCCAGGCCTTCAGGAAGGCCTGTGCAGGAGAGGTAGGGGAAGACAAGGCCTGGCCTTCCTCCTCTTTCCCAGCTGATCCCCAATCCCCGTCGTCCTCATCCTCCGTGTCCTCTCCAGGCCGACATACCCAGGCCTTCAGGAAGGCATTCCCACTACAGACAGCTTCAGCTTTCCCCTCTTCCTCAGCTGCTGCCTTCTGACCAGGCTGATCCTGCTCTGCCCCGTGTGGCTCTCGGTCGACTTCTCCCTCCTGCGTAGGCCCCTCTCTAGAGCAGTACTCCCAGGCTCTGGGGTGAGAGCCTAAAGGAGAGCTGGGGGGGTCAGCTTTCTTTTCTGTTCCCTTTTCCTCCGTGGCTCGATGTCCTGCCACCCCTGGGCAATGCACAGAAGGGCCGCGCTTGTGTCCTGGGTCTCTGTAAGCAGCAGAGGCTTCTCCATCCTCTTCCTCGTCCTTGGCTGGACCACCCTCCCCGTGTGCTGTGGGATAAGCCAGCTCAGTCCCTCCCTCTTCTCCAGCCACCACCTCCCGGGGGCTCTTATCAGCACCTTGCAGGCTAGGGGACAGGGGCATAGGCAGGCCAGCTGTGTGTTCCCTCTGCTGCTCTCGAGGGCCATCCTGTCCTTGCTTCTCACTGTATCCATCATTTGAAAGTCCCCACGCTTCAGAAGGGGAACTGTGGGCTTGAACATCAAAGGAAGGCCTCTGGGCTGCTGGACTCTCCCTAGGAGCTCCACGGTCCTCAGCGTCCCCCTGAGGGAGGTTCCCAGGGACCAGGGGAGGTGTCACCAGAGCCTTGGCGGCTATCTGATCTGCTCCGGTTACTGTTTCTGTCAGCCAGGGCTCTGGACCTTCCAGGCCCCTCAGGCGGCTCCAAGCCTGGCTGAGGAAGCCCATCAGTGGAGACAGGAGGTAGAAGGAGTGGACATCTCTCCAGGGCAGGGTATACTTGGGTCTTGGGGCCATATGTCTGGGCTGTAAAAGGGGGAGTTGTTTAGAAGCCATTCTGGAAACAGTATCATACCACAGCCCTGAGTCACGGTAATATAAATAGTCACGGTACCAACACGAGAATCCATGCCTCAAATTCCTAACAGCACTGCTCACACCCACCTCTGCCACCTGCTTCGTACCCGACAGACGGCACTCGGTTCTACATGTTTAGATCAAGAGCCCACCCTCCCAAACCCTTTCTTCAGCCCCCGTCAAAGACCTGGGAGCCTGGCTTCTAAGGACCCCTTTCCCCTCAGCTTATATGTTTACATTATGTATTATATAATTATAGATGCTATAATTCACGCCCCCCAAAGCTGCTCCTGCCCCCTCCTGCTTCCCTTTAGCCGGCTCTACCCGAGCACCGCGGCTCTAGCGGCCGGCCCCCTCCCATTTAATCGCAGAGCCTAACTTCAACTTTACTCAGACCCTCCAAGCCTGGCTCTCAAAGCGTCTGGGATTTCCCCAGCTCCCTCCCCCAGACCCCACTCACCGGCCGGCTGCGCGTCACCCCGGGGGCAGGAGCGTCGGTTCGGGCTGCCAGAGGCGGTCGCGGGTCCGGAGGTCTCGCAAGGCCAGCGCGGTCATGTCGCCCTCAGGCGTGCGGTTCGGGGACGCGAAGTCTCACAGGCGGCCGCAAGGAGTATCCCGGCAAAGGGACGCGGAGAGGCGCGGAATCTCGCATGCAATCTACACCAGTTGAGAACAGGCTCAATCTGGGCCGAAACTGTAAACCGCGTTTTTATAGCCTGACGCTGGCGCTGCACTGACGTCACCGGGAGGCGGGGCTTCGGAAGTCCCTGGGAAAGGTGGGAACTGGAAAACAACACCGCACTCTCGCGGACTTTCCGGGCCTCGTGACGTCACGGCAGCCTTCCAGGCAGACCGAGTGCTGAGGCAGCGGGACGGGTTACCACGTGTCTCCAACACAGTGACTTTCCTTTCTATTTTTTTGGTTTTTCGAGACAGGGTTTCTCTGGGGTTTTGGAGCCTGTCCTGGAACTAGCTCTGTAGACCAGGCTGGTCTCGAACTCCCAGAGATCCGCCTGCCTCTGCCTCCCGAGTGCTGGGATTAAAGGCGTGCGCCACCACCGCCCGGCTCTATTTTTTTTTTTTTTTGAGAGACAGACTGGCCTCGAAATCAGTGATCCTCCTGCTGCTTTCTTCTAAATGCACCACCAGTTTTTGTCGTTTTTTTACCCCAAGACAGATGTGATTTTTGAAGGCAAAACACTCATTGTTGGTTTTTTTATTTTTGGTTGTTTGCTTGTCTGTCTGTCTCTCTTCTTTTTTTCCTTGGTGTTTCGAAGCAGGGTTTCTCAGTGTGGTCCTGGCTGCCCTGGAACTCGCTCTGTTGACCAGACTGGCTTCGAACTCACAGAGATCTGCCTGCCTCTGCCTTCCCAGTACTGAGATTAAAGGCGTGCGACACCACTGCCCATATGTATTTATTATTTTTTTTAAATTTTATTTATTATGTATACAGAGCTCTGCCTGCATGTATCCCTGCAGGCCAGAAGAGGGCATCAAATCTCATTACAGATGGTTGTGATTGCCGGGAATTGAACTCAGGACCTTTGGAAGAGCAGCCAGAGCTCTTAACCACTGAGCCCTCTCTCCAGCCCTTTATTATTTTTTAAAAAAAACACTTTTTTTCTTATATAAATAGTGTATTTGTGTTTAGAAGTTGCAGTTTTAGTATTATCAGAAAATATATAGCAAAGGTTTCCTAAAAGTGAAAAAAATAATTATTAATGTTGGAAAAATTAGCCTCATTAACATATTTACAGACTTTTACTTAATATATTCTCCTTTGGAAATTACTTAACGTGACATTTTACAGCATTAACCCTCCCTAAATCTCTGCGTAGTGAGCGCTTGAGCTCTTTGCTGTCTCTAACCAAAGCTGAACCATGTGATTTGTGGAGCCCCAGCCTCCTGGTCAGTCAGACACTGCTGGCCTACTGCTCTGCCCCTTCCCCTACCCGTGCTTCTGCTGCGTCCTGCAGCAGCTTCTCTGTACTCTGCCCTTCCTGTACTTTCAGAATCTCGTTTCGGATTTCTTCCCTTTCTGTTTTCATTCTCAAGGGAGGAAACCAGTTCACCAAATTCATGGGGAGCTCAGAATTTAGTACTGGATTCTCAGAAAAGCCCTCTACACCCTGCAGTATGTATGTGCCACAGTCGCTGAGGTTGTTCTGCTGTGGACCGTTTGGGTTGGAACCTCTCACGACATCTTTGGAAAGATTTCTTTTGTTTGCTTTTTTCTAAACACTCTCTTGGAATTTTGACATTTGGCCGGAAAGGACTGTGTGAGTCTGTAAGGAGGATACAGAGTTACAGACACTAGGTTTTAAATGCCACTGTCCTATTTCTGAATTGTAGCCTTCACCATCGCTCCTATCATCTGGCCCGTTCTGATCCTCTGAGAAGTCACTGAATTCATCTTCCAGCATTTTGCCTCCTTCAGCTGACCGATCACCGTGGTTTAGTCTGATTTTGCTTAAGGCGTCTGGATGATGTGTAGAATTTATAATGCACACCTTTAATCCCAGCACTCGGGAGGCAGAGGCAGGCGGATCTCTGTGAGTTCTAGTCCAGCCTGGTCTACAAGAGCTAGTTCCAGGACAGGAACCAAAAGCTACTGGGAAACCCTGTCTCGAAAATCA